AGTTAGAGTTTTGTTTTACCTTCCCTCCCATCTCATTGTCCTTGATTGCTTTTACCTGCATCTTGATACCCAGCTGTGTTCTTGTCTGCTGTTCTTGCCCTTCTGTTTATACACAGTGCTGCCTTCCCTTTAGGGTTTGTCAGTGTCTGTTTACATTCTCCATGTGCTGCTTATGCCTGTAAATACAGTTTATAGTTCCTTTTTTCAATTTATGTTTTACTTTTTGAACTCTTTAACAGCCTAATAAAACTGCTTGCTTTTTGTTGAATCCAGTTTGCCTGCCATATCACACTCCACACAGTCTGCATAATCTGTAGATTGTAACAGTAAGATAAAAAATAAATAAATGGGTGTGTCAGTGGTGCAAATAACCACAATTCAACATGAATTTCCAGTTAATAAAAAGGAACTGACTCCATGTCACTTGGTATATTGTCCAATCTATTCAGTTCAGTATTCTGCTTGTCTTTAATCAGTTTCCTCTTTAATGCAATATTCAAAAATTGCTTTTTCTCATGTGTTTCTCATTTGAACACATTGAAATTTAACTACTAAATAACAGTAAAATTATGCTATTATTTAACTGTTTTGACCAGGTTACTATAAAAGATATACATGTTTTTCACAACTGGAGGTGGTGTTGTTTGCAAGTAACATGCACTATGTGGGCAGCATTCGAGGTCTTACGCCATTCTGTTGGTGGAAAGATTTTCTAAGACGAGGTTGTGGTATATTGCAGTCCCTGATTCCAGAATGTCATAGGTTTACTACATTAATTAGAGACCCTAATAGTTGTCATTAGTGATAACAGAATGGACTCACATCTTCTTTTTTTTCCTCACCAGTATATTATATGGCTGAGTCAATCTCCATCAATATTGGTAGGTAGACTGCCAAACCGTGTCAGAGCATGACTTGTGGCTTATAAACTGCCATAGGTCATCCTCCTGAGATGTTCTTCTCAATTCCGACCATACAGTAGCAACATAGTTGCATAGAAGCAAAAAGCAACAGAACTTAACATCCACAATCTCTGACAAATGTTGTTGTCATTGGTGTTCTTATCTACTATTAAGAAAATTAGATTAGCTTTGTATTGGTTTGCTGTTTGGCTTGATTTTTAAAACAAGAGCAACATTTGTGATTATTACACAAATGGTTTATTCGTTATTTTAATTTTAAATATTGTCTCTTTGTCATTTATTATATTATTGATGTGTGTTTTATTTTCATCCTAAAGGTGGGAATACCTTTTTAAAAATTAAAGATGTATATATCTGGGGATAATTATGTTAATTTTTAGTCAGGGTTTAGTCAGTTTAGTCAGGGTAAATTTGTTACTTTCTCAATTGGGAAAAAAAAGGTTTGTAAAATTGTTTAATAATTCAGTGCTGGTGTCTATAGCTATATTCAATTCAGTCTGCTGAAGAAAGGGAATAAGGAGTAACTGAGAAGGGATGTAATGGTGGTAATCAAGCTTGACAGGGGAACATGAAAGGAAGGAGGGAACATGATCTAGTAGCTAGTACAGAGAAAACGTGAGGTTAGGGGAATGAAAGGCAAAAAAAAAAGTCGGGGCAAGAGCAAAAAGACTAATAAAAAGCTAAAGGGTGATGTTACAGAGAGAAAAGTAAAAGGTAAAATGAAAGAATAACACAAAGTAATTTAGGAGCAATAGAAAAAAGAAATGCAAAGTAAGGAAAATAATCACGAACTCCACTAAATCTTCAGAAAAGTGTAGAAATATGGGGCTTGCAGCCACTCTCCTTCCTGTAAAGTCATTTAGGACTAAAGCAGCAGGGATTTGTAGGGTTTGAAGATGAACACAAAACCCATTTTCCCTCATGGCTACATCTGCCACTATGAATTTATATGGCTGTTGTAGTGAAGAGTAGAGAAAAAATGTGATCAAACATGAGGGAGAATGGAAACTGAGAGACATATAGTAATCAAGCAAGAGAGAGAGAAAAAGTGGGAACAGTGGGAAGTGCAGAGAAAATTGCTGTGAGATTAGATGATGAGGGAAATTTGAGAGAGAAAAATAGAAAGGTAAAGAAAAAAGTATTTGAAAGACAAGTTCACCAATGCAACTTTTCAGAGAGTCTTCCAGTATTTTCCAGTATTTCCATAATAGTTGGTGATCCAACATGATGACAAGCAGTACTTACCCAGTCAAATCTAAAAATAGGCATTCATTAAAACATACCAAAGTGAAATCAATCTCTCACCTTATGTCTCAGGAAAGCATTGTACTGTGAAACAATGGAGTCTGTAGTTTCTCTCATGTTCATGGACGCGTGCAGGTTCTGTTAACAAAAACTGGAGGAGCTGTTTGCACGTGCACATTGCACAAGCCGCAAGCAAAATGAACAAGTTACACTGTGATTTATCATCTCAGCAGAAAGGTTTTCTCTTTGTTAATCACGTCAGCATACATGTGTGATGTTGAGGAGTTAAAGTGCAGTGTGAATAAACTTTTTATAACTCCTTTAAGGACTCCTTAAGGACAACTTTCACAGAGATGGTTCAGATGACGAGAGGAGACATCTGCTGTCGACAAAAAATCAAGTTCAGTAGGTGCAGGCTCCGCTAGATATTTTCATATTAGCACATAATCACTTGCTTGACCGGATGTGCTAAGTTTAACTAGATATTTTGATACATACATCCATCAAATGCTTTAGTAATGGTTTTTAATCCCTCTGTGGACCTCTGGAGAGATCTATCATTCCACACAGTGCTCAAGCCTTTTATTTCATCTCTGAATTTTTCCGTTGTTATAAAAATATATCTCCTTATGCTTTTTTATAAATTCAAAGTTTTGGCCTTTTGTCTGTTTTCCCAGTTTTCAGAGATATGTTCTCCTCACATGGCAGCCGCACTACAAAAAATACCACAGAATATGATGGATTTCTGTAGACCTACTACAACAACAGGAAATACAATTTCTTTTCAAAACCCAGTTTCACTTGTAGTTTCCACAGCAACCACCTGACACTTCATTATAGATCAGCACTTTTTTTTTATTTAAGTGGGATAATTATGGGTTTTCATGGCAAACTATGTTATACTATATAGATCCACTGTAGAGTGTGTAATCACATTTTCATAGAAAGTGACAATTAATTTTTTTAATTTCACTTTGAATGGATATTGAGGTGAACTAATACCAATCTATATAAATGTTTTAGGCAGCATTTTATCCATATTATTTTCATTTTTGACAATCATTTAATGGTTGTCCTACCAAACCATCGAATGTGACATCATTATTACCCTGTGCCTAAAATTAAATGTCAGTCTATTTTTTTTTCTGTTGTTTAGAGGAAACCATTGCAGACGAAAAATACTAAGGGGAATTTGAGAATATATTTCTCCAAAGCTACCATTGTTTTGGAGATTAATGGATAAGCATGTGTATGATACTAGTCCTCTCTGCTGCCTCACCCCTCAGCATATTTGATTTATGGACACTCGGCAGTGCATGAGTTCTAATTTGAAAGGGGTTTGTTTTCAGTCATGAAGATGGAATTTTAAATGTTGTGATGAATGAACCCTTGTGGTTTTTATTTATTACTCTGTTGTGGTGTGTGTGTGTGTGTGTGTGTGTGTGTGTGTGTGTGTGTGTGTGTGTGTGTGTGTGTGCATATGATTTTCTGTGTTCCTATTTGTGCATGTATATGTGCATGTGCCCGTATAATTTTGTAAATATAGCCGCACTGTTATTTATGTACTTGGAAAAGTGCTGACGCTGTGTTTTCTGTCTGACATTATAAATTTATCACCCTTAGGTAACTATGTCTTGCAGAATTCAATATTACGTCTCACCTATTGGGGGCCAGTGTGAAAAATCAAAGAATAAGTCATGCCCTCCGGTACTTCCAACCATTCTGTCTGTGCATATGGATTTATGTTATCATCCAACAACTGCGTATGGCGCGGTGTTTGATGTTTCTGTGGTCAGATATTGAATGAACCTTGGAGAAATGTGATGCTCCTTGGTGAATTTACAGGGGTATAGTAAGGGCTTAGGGAAGAAAGAGAGGGCAAAACGGGCTAATAACCTTTGTGTATTGGTATGTGTGCTCATTCCGAGGGGGGTTGAGATGCAACATTGCTACAAAGAAAATTATTTATGCTGAACCTCTGTCTGTAGTTGTTAGTGAGACTTCAAATAAGGAATGGAAACAGCAGTGGCATGTACATAGTATAATGCAAATCATTTATTCACTTTATTGATTTGATTTGCAACTCATGATGTAAAATGATTCCTGAGAACTGCAGAGTTTGGTTTGTGGTAGTTTTTAGTATTATTTATTTTTATTGTGTTTTATATCTGCTGTACATGTTCAGTTCAGTTCACTGTATTCCATGTGCCGAATACAGTGTGTTACATGTATCTGTAGCCTTCCTATCTTCTAATGGCTTGCTGATGTCTTCATTGCTATAGGGCTATGCTCTGTTTTCTTCCTCTTTCATGTATAAAATACTTTCGCCCCTCATCAGCTTGTGTTGTCTCATAGAGACTGGAGATAGAACATAGAAGCCTAGTTACCATTCATATTAACAAATTGAGTATACATACATTAAATTTGTGAAAATGTGACATGCTTGTTGATTAGATCAAACTTGCAATACCCTTTTCTCCACAGTGTGAGATTATTGTTATTTTTAAAGACTGGTACAAATAGACTTTCTCAGAACTCTGTTAGCCTCATGTTGCTTTGAGAACTCTCATGTCAAAGTGTTGATTGCCAGACCTCCTTTATTAGCTGGCAAATTGTGCTAATTGGCATTCAGCCTAATATAACTGGCACTGAGGCGGTGATTATAATTGTTATTATAAGATGCAAAGCCCTCTCTTTATTTTGCAGTTTGTAAAATTAAAGCTGGTTACCAGTAAAATATCTTAAGTTCTCTGAATTTGCTCTCATTAAGAGTTGTCGTTGTGTGCCTTCCTGATATTCAGTCTTTTTCTCCTTTGTTTTACTTTTATCCAGGGAGGCCTCATTGCACTCCTCCTCCTAATCCTCCTTTTCACCCTTGTGCTGTATACCCGCCATCGATGGTGCAAGCGTCGCCGTATCCCCCAAAAGAGTGCAAGTACCGAGGCCACACATGAGATCCACTACATTCCCTCCGTTCTGCTCGGACCGCAGGGCCGTGACAGTTATCGGGGTTCTCGAAGCACACATCAGCATGGCAGCTCTGTCATTGGAATGCCTATTCGTGAGACTCCAATTCTTGACGATTACGACTGTGATGACGAGGTGGACGCAGGCGGGCACTCACTTAACTCCACACCCAACCAGATCCACAACAAGCTTAGTGATGGGAAGGTCCTAGATGACTATGGAGTTGGCATCCAAGGACATCCAGATATGATGTGCAAAGAAGACGATATTAAGCATAATTTTGACAAACGAGGTAGGTTGGTTGTCTGAAAGACATTCTCCTTGAAAATGAAATTAGAATTATGGAAATATGAACACTGCACGCATGAAATTAAGATTTATGGGATCCCTGTCATATTAACTGCATGATGTTGGTTTTGTTCCTATCATGCAGCTGTGAGCAACATACTAAAAAAAAGAAATGGCAGGTGTCATAGGAAATGTGTCGTGCTCAGTGGTAGCTGTGCTGCTTTTATGAGCATGTTTTGTACATCCATGGAGTGTCTCTGTGCCAGGTGCTTAGATTACTCAGCGTGGACATTTCACTTGGCTAAGGCCAGCCCACCCATGTTGTTGATTGCACAGCATGTACTGCTTATATTTTTTCAGAAAAATAAGTAGTTTTGTATGATTCCTGCCATCATCTAACATTTGCAACGATACTATCTTTAAGTTGGTCCTACTGTTTCCTACTAAAATAAGGAAGCCACAGTCTCAAACATACATTGCTGCTTCTTGGCTGTCATGTCTGTCCATTCACCTACTATATGTATCAAGTTCAAATCTAATGTACTGTCATTTAACATCATTTGTGAAGGTCAAGCGACAGAGGCCACTTGTCACGTCAATTAAATGCTGACTTGTGTCAGTGGGTGGCTTTTTAATCCCTGGTAAAAAGAGTCATGGGTCTCCACTTTGAGCAAGATAAATATGTTTCGTATAAAGTAATGATAAAACTTTTTTTAGCCAATAAAATTTAAAACTCCACTGCAAACATCGTTATTTCAAGCTATGCATAAAGTATTTGTTTACAGTACCCTCACAAACCTTCTCTGTTGGACGGCAGTAACTAATTGTAGGTTTCCTTGGTTATTTGTTCTGTATCACAAATTTAAATCAATTAACATGCTAAAAATGCTCAGAATTATGAAGTTGATGGATATTTTAATTTTCTGAGTTTAAATCATCCTATTTAAGTACTGGTCTATGTTTGAAAAACATTTATAGAAGGGAAATCTGTGGAAAACCTGTTGTTTGATGCAGTTTCAGCATTTTTTATAGAGGAAAAATTAATAAGATGATAAAATATCATTATGTCTAGAGTTTTGAACAAAACACTGACCTGAACTCACTGTAATTGCAAAACTCTAGGATATAGTACTTTCACACACAAATGTCCATATTCACATTTACATCAATTTAATCTCCAGTTCTTTGAATTCCTTAGATTAACTATAGAGACAGATTAACAAGCTATTAATCTTTCAGCTACAGAAATTTAAAGACATGATTCATCCATAAAAGTGACCAATTTAAAGTTAAGATCTACCTCTATTTATTTATCCTTGACATTTTTAGTGTACTGGGCCAGCAATTCATCCTCTCCTCTCAGTCTCTTTTAGATCTCATATATGTTGTCTCAAATAAAGCAGCCCTTATCCAAAAACACCCATACCAAGCAGGTGTTTCTTTTGTAAATTTGTTGTTATCAAAAAAATTATCAAAGTTGTAATTTATGAATGCAGTCTTTCAGTAATATTAAATTGTTAAAATAAATTATGAATGACAGTAGGTTAAAAGTGTTGTTTTTGTGTTCTTTATTCTCGATATTTTTATTTTACTGCATTTTATGTGGCAATGTAAACAGATGAAATTCATAAATCAAACTTAAATCAGATTTGCTGTCTAAATACACAGCCTCACTAATACAAATAAAACAAATTTGACTTTGTAGTGATGCAACAATTATTTATGATTTATTTTTTGTTGGCCATGATTTAATGGGTGATGCATACTGACTTGGTTAAGATTTGAAGAATAAAATTAAACTTATTCGAAATCTTCCATAGTCTTAGATTTAAATGGAGATACTCTCTCAGAAACAACTGACTTGAAGTGCACTGTTCTTTGTATTTAGTAGAGAGACTGACAGGAAAATGAGCTAATGGTGGACGGTGATAAATTGCTAATGTGACTAATGCTTTGTTTTGGATGGTCAACAACTACCTCCCAGTGGGATAAAATGGCCCAAGCCTACAGGCTCAATATGTCTGTCTAGAGGACAAAGGGTTATGTGATTGTACTGTGGTTCATTACTGTCAACCATAAAAGCATAGTGAAGTTCTTTGTGGCTGGCATTGTTTATTGGGTTTTGGCTGCACTATGTGTCTAATTTAATAGATTAATTAAAATTTAGTCTAATACTTGTTTTCACAGAATTTGCCATGTACTTATTAACCTAGCCCTTGCATGTTTTCATTTTCTTCAATGGCCCAACTAGTTTGTTGACGCATGCATTAACCTTTAATGTGTCTATATGCAAACATACAAGATTAAAAACACAAAAGCTTTATTCTCAGAATATAATTTCCCCAAAACCAAATGCATTAGAAGTCCAAGGAGTGACTAACTACTTCAGATATTCAGTGACTGGCCTAGGACTCACACCGCTGCTCTGCCAACACAGTCCTGAGGGCATCTGGGATGGGGCCACTGGTCTTCACATTAATAACAAGCAAATCCATCCAATTTCCATTTAAAATGACTCTTGTTAGTCTTATCTAACACACACTCTGGAGCAGAGGTAAGCAGCAGAATGCATTCACCTCACTGGTTCATCCATGAACAGTGCAGTAACAGGCTCGGTAGTAATGTATCGCACTTATTTTGAAAGTAACTTTCAAGGTCACATTATTCTCTGACTGAATGCAATAACTAAAAGAACAAAACAAACGTATGTTTTTTATAGAAAAGCTTGTATCAATGTCTATGGCGAGAAGGTAACTAAAGTTTAGAGTAAATAATATTTTTTGTTATCGTTGTTCACCTTACATTTTTGGAAAGGATATCTACAAAAAGAGGACGGGGATTTATAGTCATAAAGTATAGCAGTTTCAAACAAACCTGTGTTTTAAGTAGCTCTATATTTTCTGTGCTTTAAGTCAGACCCCAATATTTCCCTAGCATGGCACGAGTCCTTAAACAAAACCATGAAAATGTTTTAAGATGTCTTAGACACCACAGGAGAATTTTGTATTGGAGATAAAAATGTGTTCTCATGACGCATATCACTGCTACAAATTCTACATTAACACATTTGTGATTGGCAAAATGCATTATGTGGATTAAAATGATTACATTTGGCACACTGGATGGGCATGCATAATGGTAATATACTAAACATGAGTATCCAGATTCAAAACAATGTATTGATTTCTTCTTTTGCTCATCCTCCACCATTTTTATTAAATTAGGCGTGGAAGTTTTCTTTATTCATTTTCTTTCATATTTTTTAGTTTTGTTTAATCTGACACTGAGACACCACACAAACAGGCAAACAAAACTGTCACAAAGAACTTCACTATGCTTTTATGGTTTTGCCTCCTTGGTGGATAAAAAGCAGAACATAATTTCTGATATAATAAAAAAAATGGTCTTAAAATAGCTGAGGCTTAATTTTAAGGCAAGTACAATGCTGCTAGTCAGATGTTAAGATTATAGCTTTATATCAGTTCTCACTCACTAGTAATGGGATCTCATTAGCAAAAAGAAACATTAAACGCAAATTGAAGATTCTATTATGTTTTAATAGTCCATATTACTTCCTGTTGGGCCTTTTATTCCTTTTAGTGAAGTTATGTTGCTTGCAAAAACTGCTGAATGGAGTTACTTTGTATTTATTTCAGTTGTAAACACTGATGAAGCATTGGACAGCACATGTAACCCACTGAGAATCATCGGGATGATACTTAGATTTTACATCTTCAGATATGTGGCTAAGTTTTGCTTAAAATAGACAAAAGAGGAGAATGCATTTAGACAGAAGATCCTGCTGCTACAGTAGATTTTTAAGTTCCCTGCCCCCTATGGAGCAGCTACCCCCAATCTGAGTAAAAGCACATTTTTTCCAAGAATAATGGATCTGTAAGTTAATGTTTCTTTCCCCATTTTTTTTTTTTATAGCAAGAACACAGGACCAGAAAACATCTAGCAAAATATATAACTGTTTCTAAATATTACAACGAAACCACAAAACAGTAATTACTGTATCCAAGACTTCTCAGTGTCCTCAAGGAAAGCAGCGTTGAGTCATATAGGCATGTGGCTCTTTGTTATTTATTGCAGTAATAACTAGGTAAAGTCTGGCAAAAACTTTGTTTGACATTTATTTCACATATAGTCTTAACTGTGCATTCTTAAAGTCCTTCATTATTGGGGCTGCACTCACCCACTTGAAACCAAAAGGGAAAAAAGGAAGTATTGTTATTATTGTCATCAACAACTCCATATTCACTGCCAAAGTTATTAAGTGTTTACTGAGCCTTAATTGAACTCAGAGTAATAATCTAGTGTCGGGCTTCAGATCACTAATGTGACATCATTAATGGGAAATGGATGCCAGCTTGGCACAGTCAAGCTACCTTGGGGTAATGTTTTGATTAATACTGATTCAAGCTCGCTCTCCTTCCTCGTGATAAATAGATGGGAATCATGACAAGACTTCACATTCTTCCTATCCCCCATCCACAGAAAGCAGTAAAGCTGTGTGTTGTTAATGATGTGAATTTATCACAGTAAGATGAATGTGACGTATTTCAACAAACACATACAATATAAAGCACACTATAGCATGCACAAGTCTACAAAAACATCCCATGATGAAGATTAAGGATGCACATGTTCAAAGACTAAGATTTTGTAAGTCAAAAAATCCAATAAATGTGTACTGAAATGAGATTTTTGAGCTCTAGGCTAGATTAAAAAACTTCTAGTCATTCTTGCCCACTCCAGTGTGAAAAAGGCCTGTGTCAGATTCATCAGTCTCCTACAATTTCTGGTGCATTGTTTAGTAAGGAAGTTTCAGAGGAGCACAAGATGAGCAAATCCCCCCATGCACAGTGCAGCAGCTGATGAGATCATTTTGAGCAGCAAAGAAATAATAAGGAACTAGAAACCAGTAAATCCGTGTATAGCAACTCATTGAGAAATGAAGCCTTAGTAATCTGATCCAACATGAAGCCTTTGTCAGGGCCA